TGTTAAGAACTTATAAAGAGAGGGAGGGACATTTATTAAACCACCATCTGTGTCTGTCACAGACTCCCAAAACATGAGCTAGCTCAAAAAGAACTGCTTGATTGGAGGAGAGCCCTGTCCACCTTTACTGGTGGCCCCTGAAGTACCTTTATGGGACCCTGGGGTGCCTGGGAACCCAGTTTGAAAACCATTGCTCTAGGCCAGAGGTCAGCAAGCCTTTCTGCCAAAAGCCAGATAACAAATATTTTAGACTTTGAGGACCATGTAAAGTTTTTGTTACAACTCTTTTTGTAGTGCTTTATTTACTTTTTTAATCCTTTAAAAATGTGAGAACACTTCTCGGCCTGGCCAGGTGGCTCATCTGGTTGGAGTGTCATCTCCTATACCCATGGTCGGCAAACTGCAGCTCACGAGCCACATGCGGCTCTTTCGCCCCTTGAGTGTTGCAGGCACGCACGTGCAGTGTGATTGAAACTTCGTGGCCCATGCGCAGAAGTCGGTATTTTGTGGAAGAGCCACACTCAAGGGGCCAAAGAGCTGCATGTGGCTCGCGAGCCACAGTTTGCCGACCACTGTCCTATACCATAAGGTTGCAGGCATGATACCCAGTCCGGTCCTGGCGCATATGGGAGGCAACCAGTCAATGTTTCTCTCCCTTTCTCTCTCCCTTCCCAAATAAATAAATAAATAATAAAATAAAATATATCCTCTTAATTCAGGGGCCAGTACAAAAACAGGCCACAGGCCAGATTTGGCCCAAGGACCATAGTTATCCAACGCCTGCTCTAAGAGATGTCGGGGCACACAGATTTGAATGCAGAGTGAAGGATAGGCTGTATACAGTGTACCTCTGTGATCATGCCTACTTCATGTGCTGCCACTATCCTGCCTCAGAAAGGTGTTTGGGAGCTTTATTGATCGGCATGTTAGTTAATGAGCCATTATAAGATTGTGTTTAAACAAAGGCCAAAGAGAAGGGGAAACTGGAAGCATCGGTACATTGTGCACTGGGACCCGTCCCAAAGCCAAAGTCTAGTGTGTGTCGCTTCTGTCTGCTTGGTGTGATTAGGGCCTGTGTTAGGGTCAGATGCTAAAAGAGCAGTTCACATCCATGGCTGCTCTGACCAGTGATGTGAATCGTTTTATGGCTCTGGGTTCTGGCCGTCAAAGCAGCATTTCCCCATGAGAGACCTAGTAATCATGTGGTCCCTTTTTTGGAGGTGGCATGGTGAGCCAGTGCCCTCTGCCCCCGGGGCTGGCTAGAAGCAGCCAGCCAGGACCCCTGGTCCCTGTGGAGGCCAGGCCCCTCCTCCTGCCGAAGGCGCTGCAGGCCTTTTGGCATTTTATGTGCACCAAGTCCTTACTGAGCTGCTGAGATCCAGATAAAGGGCTTAGGGAAGGTTTGAGAGGATAAGCCATGCTCCCTGCCTCGCGGACCGAGACCCCGCTGGGGCGCTCAGAGGCAGCAGAGCAGAGCGGCAAAGAGCCTGGCCACTGGCTGCCTGACGAGTTCCAGGTTCTACCACTCAGCTGTGTGATCTTAGGCAAGTTGCTTAAGGTCTCCGTGCCTGAGCTTTCCCATTTGTAAAATAGAGGTATTCGTCGTAGCAGCTTTTGTAAATTTTACATGAGTTTATGTGTGTAAAAGGCTCAGAGCAGAGTTAAGCACATTGTAGGGTGAGCTCTTATAGTGAAGAAATCTCATAAGAGAAGATGATCAAAACTGTGATTAAGTATCTCAAAGAATCTTCTCGACCAGGAGTCAGCAAACTACTGCTAATGGGCAAAATCCAGTTTGTTGCTTGTTTTTTTATAAATAAAGTTTTAATGAAACAGCCACGCCCATTCAGTCTGGCTGTGTTCACTCTGCAACAGACCATGGTCTGCACAGGGGAAAATATTTGCTATCTGGCCCTTCACGGGAACAGTTTGCCAACCTTTGTTCTAGACCATAACTCCTGTGAGGAATCTGAGAAGCTAGTGATCAGTTCCATGCTAGAGAATCAGGAAAGGTTTGAAAGTGTCCTTCCACTCAACATCGTCTAAGCTGAGGGCATATGCCTGGCATGCCAGCAGGCACTGGCAGTAGAGAGACAGTGAGACGTGATCCTGCCCTTCAGGGAGTTCGTGGTGTAGTGGAGGCCCAGGTACACAGATGAGTCAGTGCTGCAGGTAAGTACTGACAGAGGTGGGAAGAAGGGGCCTCAGGGAGCACATGGAGGACAGAGGGCTCAAGGATGAGGAGACTTTGCTGGGGGCCAGGAGAGAGAGGACCCAACATAGGGGTGGCCAAGAGCTCCTGCGGTGGGAGGGCAGCAGGGAGCAAATGCCCAGGACTCCTCCCCATGTGTGTGTGTGTGTGTGGGGGTGGGGCAAGGAAATGGTGATGTCATCCTGTAGGCGGGACTGGGAGAGTGAGGATGCAAAGGATATTCTCGCCTGAGCAGCTGACCCCAGGATGATGACAGTAGCCAGCAGGGAATATGGGAGGCAGGTTTGCCTGCTCAGTGGGAAAGCAGACCGTACCCTTTTACGTAATGATGTTTACTTTGAATTTATATTAGTTCACACAAACACTCCATCCATGCTTTTGTTCCGGCCCTCCGGTCCAGTTTAAGAACCCATTGTGGCCCTCGAGTCAAAAAGTTTGCCCACCCCTGTTCTAGCCTGAGCAGCTGACCCCAGGATGATGACAGTAGCCAGCAGGGAATATGGGAGGCAGGTTTGCCTGCTCAGTGGGAAAGCCAGAAGGGCCCCAGCATCCCATCGCTATTGACAGTTACAGTTCATCCCCTTTCTAAGGACCCCGCTGCTGCGGTATTGCCATGGCCCTGAGACCCGTCTCTGGTTTCCCAAGGTCCCCCAATGATGTTGCTCCCAAAGCAGCAATTTCACCTCATACCTTTGCTTGCAACTCTTCCACAACCCTCCCTTGTCTTTAGGGCAAAACCCAACCCCTTAGCATGACAGACAGCCCTTCCTGGGCCGGCTCCGCCTACTTCTCCTGGGTCACCCCCACCTTCCAGTAAACAACTCCAGATCTACCAGGAGTCTCTGGACAAGTCCACGTCCTTCGCCTTTGCCAGGTCACCTGATCCTCTGCCCGATTGCTCTCCCTTCCTTACCCCTATACTGAGTTCAGTTCACCTCCCAAACTCAGCCTGGGGTTCCTTTCCTTCGGGAAGCCTGCTCTAGCCCTTCTAGTTAGTGGCCCTCACTTCCTGTCTGTCCTGTCTGTCCATGCTCAGGGATGTTCTTACACAGAAATGCTCCTCTCCGTGAATCCCATGCCTGTGCAAGGGCCCCGCTTAAGTGGCACCATGGCTCATGAGTGAGTGAGGCAGCTGTTCGCTTCCGAGGCGCCTGAAGGCACCTTGGGGTGAGGCCCTGCCGCCCCCCTGGCAGTGTGTGGGTGCTGGGCTCTTTGGTTTGGATGGAGGAAACCTGCACAACCAGGAAAATCTATCCATAGGATTTCTCTTCTTGGTTCATAGAATAGAGAACTAAGCCGCACCCCCAGCCTCCCCACTGGGAGACTGAAGATCTTCCTCAGGTTGAAGCCGGGTTGCCAGGGACAGAAAGACCCAGATTAGACGGTAGCCGTGGTGCCTCCGTGGTCCTGTCTTCACGAGTGGCACCACCACCCATCCACCCAGTGCTCAAACCAGAAACCTGCAAGTCATCGTAAAGCCCTCCTCCCCCTCACCCCCACAGGCATGCAGTCACCAAGCTCTCAGTGTTGCTGGGACCTGTGTCTGTCCCATCCCCATCCCCTCCTCCATCCCTCACCTGGACCCCCACAGAAACCTCAAGCATCCTCCCCACCTCTGGCCTCACTCCTCCCACATCGGTTCCCACACGAGCAGCCAGACTAATGCTTCCTCAAGCACCTATATGTCCCTGCCGCCCACTGTTTAAAACTTCTACCACTCCTCCCTCAGAATGAGCCCCAGCTCTGCAGGGCAGGGGAAGTCTTGAGATGCTTCGGACCTAGCTCCAAGCACATCCTCTAGTCCTGGCCCTTCTAGAGTCACCTCCTTGCACTAGAGGGCCAAGTACATTGTCCTCCACTCCCAGGCAGGGCAGCAGCAGGTGTGTTCAGTTTGTGGACTCGCCATGGACTGACACTGAGTACTTGTTCTGGAATGTTCCATGTCTGCCACAGCACAGGCCTTGTGCACCTGACTCTACCCATCCCTCCCTCAGCATCCCCCATTGGCTGGTCTTCCACCCCCTCTGGATTCTCAGATCCTCCCCCCCATCACGAGGAGCCTCCCTCCTGCCTCCACCGCAGGACAGTGAGCCACATGCCCCTCTGCCCTCCCCCAGCCCTCGCATGGGGTCCATCACCCCGTGTTGTGGTTGTCAGTTTGCTTCTCTGTCTCCCCTGCTCACTGAGAGCAGGGACTGTGTTAAACCCCAATGTTGAAACCCCATCCCCTAGCCTGGCATATGGTGAGTGCTCCATAAATATTTGTGGAAGGCAAGACTACAACAAGTAAGAGAGAAGAATCTTGTCGAAATCTCCTTCCTGGACCATTCATTTATTCAACAAATAAACAGAGGATGGAGAAAAGCAGGCAGAGAGACTGAGAGAAGTCTGCAGGTCCCTGGGGGCAAATAGCTGAGATTCCACACGTGGCCTGAAAAATTGCCACCTCGCCCATGGGGGTTCCTGTGCATTAAAGCATGAAGAATGATTCTAATCATCTCAGAGTGGGCCAGATGTGCCTGGTGTTGCCATGGCAGCCCCCAGAATTGGGCAGATGTGCCATGAGCATCTTTGGAAAACATCAGGGGACCCCAGAGACTATATGGCCTGGAAGGAAATAGTTCACACTCAAAACGCGGGCATGGAACTGCTCAGTGTGGATTGAGAGTCGTGTAGGATGGTGCCACGGGGACTCTGGGCATCAGAACATAACGAGGAAATGTCTTCCTGTTCTCAAGGCTCTCCCGGCTGCCCCTGTCTGCTCCCTAACCCCATGCTCCCTCCCTAGGTGATCAAGCTTGCCTTCGAGGAGTTTGACTTGGAGAGGGGCTATGACACCCTGACGGTCGGGGATGGTGGGCAGGACGGGGACCAGAAAACGGTCCTCTACATGTAAGTGAAGTAGGCATTCAGGTGGGAGGGCGGGAGCACGGTACCTTGGCTGAGGGTGGTGGGATGGGCTTGCTGGGTCTTGCCTGGTCCCCCAGACCACACTGCGACCAGGACAGGTGCCCTGTTGTGCTTCTAGTTTCAGCAACAGTCCCTCCGCCTCTCTCTACTCCAGCCAAGGGAAACAGAGCACCGGGCCACATTCTCACTAGGGATTCACAGGAAGTGTACAGAACGAGCAGTTCTAGGGAGCAGGGAAATAGACATTTTGTGGCTGTCTGCTTCGACACAGACTCTCCTGCCACCCAGCAGTTTTTCCTCAAGGCCAAGTACGTCCGTGGTGGTCTCACTTCAGACAGAGACATGAAAGTGCTTTGCTAACCTCCCTGCCTGCTCTTAGCTATCTGGGAAGTGGGTGGTTCTAGAGAATTAGGACCACATGGTCATACACATTCTCTGAGTCCAGAAAGGTTAGCATCGTATGGTCAGCCAAGGGAGAGGGTGCTAGCGGGCTCTCTGGGATTCCACGACATTGGGTCTTGGCTTCTCCTTTGCCCACCACCTGTAGCCTGACATGCAGCAGGAAAATGTTCTTGTTTGATACATGTGGTCCAGCTTCAAAGAAACAGACAGGCCTGACCTCATCCATCTCCCCTGCCAAAAAGAAGGGGTGATTTCATATATGCTGAGCACCTACTTGTGCCCAGGCACTGTGATGGGAACTTTCACATCAGTTATCTCATTTAATTCCCACAACAGCCCTGTGAGAAAGGTGTTATTATCCCCATTTAGTAGGTGGGGAAACTGAGGCCCAATGGTTGCAAAAGATGGTTGGTGGCAGAATCAGCACTTGAGTTCGAGTCTTTTGATTTCAGTGAGGGATAGCATCCCTTGCCATACCCACTCCCAGCCAGGCTAGCTCCAAGCTAATACCCTCTGGTTTTAATAATGAATGAAAGATAGCTATTCAGTAATAACTAGCTTGTCCAGGAGCTGTTCTGTTCTGGGAACTTCCCACACTTTCTCATACCTGCCTGGAGAAGATCCCATCAGGGCAGTTAAAGGACTCATGATGTTACCCACCGAGTCAGTGACATGGCTAGGACCTGGGCTCTCTCAGGAGAAAGGGAGAAATGTGAGCCCTGCCTATTCCACTGTATTAATCAGGGTTTGCCAGAGAAAGAGAACCAATAGGATATATATAGAGAGAAAGGGGTTTATTGTAAGGAATTGGCTCACATGGTTATGGAGGCTGACAAATCTCAAGATCTGCAGGGTGAGTCGGCAAGTTGGAAACCCAGGAGAGTGATGATGCAATTGTGGTGTGGAGCCAGCAGGCTCAAGACCCAGGAAGAGCTAATGTTTCGGATCCAGTCCAAGGCAGGGAGAAAACCCCCACAATGTCCCAGCTGGAGTTCAGACAGGAAGAATCTTCTCTTAAGGGAAGGTCAGCCTTTTTTGTTCAGTTCAGGCCTTCAGCTGATTGGATGAGGCCCACCCACAGTGGGGAGGGCAATCTGCTCACTCCATCTACCATTTAAATGTTAATCTCGTCCAAAACCACAGACACACCAGGAATGACATCTGGACAGATGTCGTCGGGATACCCCAGGGCCCAGCAAATTCAGAGAGCCATCTCACCCACCTCTCCCCTCCTCTTGGTGCCTCCCCACCACTCACCTGTCCTGGATCGCCGACCTATATGGTGTATCCGCTCAGTGTGCCCAAGAGGTCCTCCCACAACCCCATGTGCTTTTCCATGGAGAGAACCTTAGAACAGCAAAGCTGAAAAGACTCATACAACCCAATCTCCTTCTTTAACATGGAGTGGGAAAGCCAAAGCCCAGAGACGCCCAGCATTTGCCCAAGGTCCCCCCACAAAGAATGGCAGAGCCAGGGCTTATACCCAGATCTTTGGAGTGAGCTCCCAACAAGTCCTGTAGCAGCCCAGGGACTCGCCCATCACCCCCGGATCGGATCTCTTTAGGCCAAGGGAAACACATGCAACATGGTCAGGCTCCTTTGTTGTCCCAATTGGGTCAAACAGGAAAAACAGCGGCCTTGGCTTCTCTCTTGCTTCCTGCCACCCCGGAGTCACAGCCAACCCTGGCCTGGCCTCAATCTACTCACGTGAGAGCCCCCAGATCAGGGATGTCACACAGGCTGAGCTGGTGAATCCCAGGTGGTCTGTCCCACTCCACCCCCACTCATGTGCTGAGCATCTCTCTGCAGCCAAGTCAACACCCCCGACCCCAGCTTTGAGACCCAGGGTAGAGCAGACCCATTAATGAAATCGCCCTCCACAGCCTGCAGTCCCCGTCTCTACAGTAAGGAAGCCAGGTTTCTTCCAGAAGCCCCAGCCTGTGCACTGGACGCTGGCTCTGCCACTCTCCAGCAAGCTGACCTCAGGAAAGCTGTTGCCCGTGTTGTGCCTTTGTCTTCTCATCTGTGCAGTGGGGATATCACCCCTCCCTCACTGGGCTAATGGGGGCAGTAAATGAGATAACGGGCGTGACGGTGTCACACTTGGATAGGTGCCTGGAAAATGTGAGTTGAGTGAGAAGCTTCCTGTGCTCAAACTTCAGAAAATGTGGTCCAGGGTCAAGGCTGTGCTTTAAGCCTTATCCTGGCAGGGGAGGACACGTCAACTGAAAGGAATGGCTGGGTTCCCACCAGGGGAAGGGGTTTCTGTCTGTCTTTCCTGCAGTACAGTTCACACGAGAAATCAGAGGTTACAGGGTAGATCCCGTTCCAGCTAGCCCTGTCCCCCGAGCCAGCAAGGACACAGATGTCTCTCATAAGCCCAGGGGTCTGGGCGAGGAAGTGGAGGTTGAGATTCAAGCTCTGCCCGTGGCCGAGGGGGAGAGGCGCTGAGTCCCTGGGCTCCAGTGTCAGAAACTCTGTGGAGCTCACAAATTGCCCGAGTGGGCCTGGCCCCGAGATGCTCCTGTAGGTGTCTTCAGTCGGCAGTCATTCTGGTGGGGTGCCATGGTGGGGTGCATACCTCTAAATCTCTCTTTCCTGACAGCCTGACAGGTACGTCGGTACCAGATCTCATTGTCAGCACCAACCATCAAATGTGGCTCCTCTTCCAGACAGACGGCAGCGGCAGCTCCCTGGGATTCAAGGCCTCTTACGAAGGTAACTGCTCTTGGGGAGTGAGGGACCCGCCCTGGAGTCAGAGCCTCAGGGTCTGGATGTGGAATCAGCAAGCCCTGGGCTTGAACCTGATTCCGCACTAGCTTCCTCTCCTTGGAGTTCTTGACATCTCTGAGCCCCAGCCTCCGTCCTTGTCCAGTGGGTCTCCTGGGTTGTTTTGAGGATTAGCTGAAGTGAATCACTTAGAATACTGGATACACAGCACCGGGCACATACTCACTTCCATCCCCAGCTCATACTAAGCTCATGTAGACCTTTAAAAGGTCCCGTAAACTGTCTAATCTTGGTTACTTCCTACCTTCATACTGGAGATAGGAGCTTCCCAAGCTGCTACCCACTAGGGGTGTTAGAGTGATGAGAGGTTGTGCACGGTGCTAGGACAGACACACGCCTGAGGAGGGTACAGATGAGGGTGACCTTCATCTCTTGATGGAAATAGCCATTAAGGGAATGGCAGACGCTGGGACCCAAGAGATGCCACCAGCGTCACCCTTCCCTGCACTTCCATGCCTCCTGTTGACTCATGACTGCTAATGCCGACCCCCACAGAAAGGGGAGAGAAGCCGTCCCCCAGGGATCTGTGAAGGCCCTGTTAGGTGTCAGGCCCCAGGCCAGCACTAGGGAGCTAGTGCTGCATCAGGCCCAGGCCCTGTGGCAAGGGGCTCACTCTTTCTGCAAAAGCTGGGTAGCTATTGCAGTCAGGGGGGCGTGGCAGAGCCCGTGGAGCCATGGAGCGTGGCATCTTCCGGGGCGTCAGGAAATGTTTTATCCAGAAAGGGGGCCTTATGTCTTTAAAATGACAAGGTGACTACTAGAGAGACAGGAGGGAGAGGCGATCTTCCTGCACCCCAACTCAGAGACCTGAGCGTTCTACAGGAGGCTGTTTAGGGGGAGCAGTGCCAAAGACTCGTTCCACTCCATGGGCCTCACGCCCCAGTGCTCAGGGGTCCTTCTGTACCAGGACCTGGACTGTCTCCAGCCTGGATGCACAGCGTGTCCTGGGGCTGCCCTAACAGAGCCACACACCGGTTGGCTTGGTTCAAAGGCAATGTGTTCTCTCACAGCTGGAGGCTAGGTGTCAGGAGGCAGTGCTCCCTCTGCGACTCTGGGTAGCGTCCTTGCCTCTTCCCAGCTTCCCTGGGGACCCTTCCCGCAGTCCTTGGTGTTCTTTGGCTTGTAGCTGTAGCTCTTCGGTCTCTACGTCTGTTGTCACATGCAGCCCGTGTGACTCTCTCCCCCTCTTATAAGACATCAGTCATAACGGATAAAGGGCCCACCCTACCTCCAGTATGACCTCATCTTAACTTGATTACTTCTGCGAAGAACCTATTTCCAAATAAGTCACATTCACAGTCACCAGGGGTTAGGATCCAACATATCTTTTGGGGAAGACAGTTCAACCCATAACAGGAGGCCAGCCCATATTTCCTGCACTAACACTGTCATAGCTCAGTGCCCACTAGGGTGAGGACAGTGACTGCACTGTTCTAAGATCAGGAAGCATATGTCTGGATGAGACAGAGCAGCAGGCAGAGAGCATCCATTGGGGGACAAGCGCTGAGTTCAAATCCTGGTTCTCTGGCTTTCTAGCTCCAGAGCAGGTCAGGGAGCCTGTCGAGAGTTCGTTTCTTCATCTGTGAAGTGCAGATAATAATACAACCTAGGTCCCAGGGCTCCTGTGAAGGTTACGCTTAGATAAAGAATGTGAAAGTAAGAAGTGTCGCACGTTGCAACACAATAAGTGAGTAATGAGTGCATACATAGGTAGTTAAAAGAATGGGCTCTTCTGGTGCCTGGAGTTACACTCAAGTGGCTGTGGGGCGGTGGAAAGAACATCAGGCAGGAAATCAGGAGACGCAGATTCAGGTCCAAGCTCTGGTACTCACTGCTTTGAAAAGGGGAATGAACTCGGGCACAGAGTTTCTAAGGTTCTCCCCTTTCTGAACTTCTGTGGATGTTCCGCAATGATTGTTCCAAAGCAGGAGGAATGATCCTGTCATCCACATGCCCTTACTCTGTCCATATTTTATCAATGGCTCAGGTTAGACATAAATAGCATGAGCTTGAAAGACAGGCCAGTACACCAGTCCACATGCAGAAAGATCTCAATAGGAGGGGCTGTGAGCTAAATTACCATGACCAGATGAAGCAGGGATAACTGTCAAGCATGTTTTAAGGTTCAAAAAATTAGCTACTAGAATTGATCCCAGGGAGTTAGTGTGCTTTCTTCTGTTCTGATCAGGCATCAGAGAATTGAACTTAGATATGGGGACTGCAGCTTGAGATGGACACGGAGAGGACATAAGGCAAGCCCAGTGAGAAATGCTTATCCGGGGTAAAGTAAACTCAAGGGAGACCTGAGAGCTGGGTCCAAATATTTGAAGGATTGTTTTGTGGGAAAGAAGAATTAGACCTGTTTGGTGAGATTTCATTGGAATAGAAAGGGACTTGTTGAGAGCACCGTGTGCCAGAAGCTGTATGTTCATTATCTCGGGGTTTGCAGTGTCATGTAAAGACTTGGAGTGCCCTCAGGGACCACCATGGTGGGGTAATAAATGGAGATAACAATCTCACAACATGTTAAAGTGAAAGGAGATCACAGAAAGCTCCTGGCAGGGTGTCGGGCACAGAGGCAACTTCCCCTGAAGGCTACTAAAGTTCCTCTCCACCCACACCTTCCACGATAGCACTGCTCTCCACTGGGTGTCCTTCTCTGCCCGGGGACACGTGGCTCCTTGCCATCCGCAGATGGCCAGATGACCTGTGCTTGCTCTGATAGGCCCTGGTTCTAGGGCTCACACCTGCACTCCCACCTGGGCCCTGCCTCACATTCACACTCCCCACCTGGGCCCTGCCTCACACCCGCACTCCCCACCTGGGCCCTGCCTCACACCCGCACTCCCCACCTGGGCCCTGCCTCACACCCGCACTGCCCCCCTGGGCCCTGCCTCACACCCGCACTCCCCCCCTGGGCCCTGCCTCACACCCGCACTCCCCACCTGGGCCCTGCCTCACACCCGCACTCCCCACCTGGGCCCTCGATGCCCAGACTGGCTGAGAAATGAGATGGTTCACTGTGGCCACAGTGTAGGGTGTGGAGGCAGAGGTGGCAGAAGGCAGATCCTGGCCACGGAGAGCCTTGAGGCTTCATAAAGGGTTTGCACCTTGTCCAGTGGGAAGAACCGATGAAGGACCAAATGTCAGGATGGGCCTGCCTTTCCCTTCTTGTCCCTCTGCCACTGACCGTTTATTGGAGGGGTGAAGCCGATTGATCTCACACCTTCATGATGAAGAGCCCCCTGTACTGTAAAAAAGGTGGGTGATTGAGTTCCCTGGCATCTGCTGCGACTGTGCCCCCTAAGCTGCTCTCGGGGCTTCTCCCATCTGCAGCCACCTGCTTCTTCAGTGCTCTGGCCGCTCCCTCGGAGCACCTGCACGGTTCCTCACTGCCCTTCAGGGTGGGTACCTTTCAATGTCTGTCCTTAGCCTTCCATCCTCTCTTTGTAGAACCTTCCACAGTTGATCACATCCACTCTCATGGCTCCAGCCTCAACCTAAATGCCAGTGACTTCCAAATCTGTTTCCACTTGAATTTTAGTTCACTGGTGACACATTTTATATAGCTTCTCCCTCGGACATCTCAAACCTAACCCATCTGTATTAGTCTGCTCATAATGAAATGCCATAGGCTGGGTGGCTTAAACAGAAATTTACTTTCTCACAATTCTAGGCTAGAAATGCAAGAGCGAGGTTCTGGCTGATTGAGTGTTGGTCCAGGCTCTCTTTCTGGCTTGCAGATGGCTGCCTTTCATGTGGCCTTTCCTCAGTGCATGCACATGGATAGACAGAGAGCAAGCCCTCTGTGTCTCTTCTCATAAAGACGCTAACCCTGTGGGATCAGGGCCCCACCCATATGACCTCATTTAACCCTTATTACTTCCTTTGAGGCCCCATCTCCAAATACAGCCACATTGGGGGCTAGGCCTTCAGCATAGTAATTGGGCGGAGGCTGAGGACACAAACATTCAGAGGCCCTGAACCTAACTGTCCCTTATACCTGGGCTCCTGAGCATTAAAGAGAAAAAACCAACATGATATAGAAAAATGTTAGTTACATGCAAACAAGTGGTTAGCATAAGATGGAACTTGGAGACATTGTAGAAAATAGGTCTACCTTTCATCTACCTTTCATCTAGTGCCAATATTCCACCTTTGTGTGGAAATTACCGAAAAATCGGTACAGCGGTCTGGTAGGGTTAACACCATCCAAAACGAAGCTCTTCATCTCCCCCTCCCCACAGCCTCTGCCCCTGTGCCCCCATCTTAAGAAACAGCACCACCATCCGTGCCATCACTCATTCTCCTTTCACCTCCTCCTCCCTCTCCCACCGCTAACCCTGTCCTGGATTCTGACAGTTCTCCCTCTGCAGCGCCCCAGCCCCTTGTCTTCCAGCTGCCAGGCCCTCATCGCCTCTCACTTGAGTGATAGCACAGGCCTCCTGCCCTGACTCGAGCCCCCACCCACCCCCATCTGCCACTTACAGCACAGCCATCTCACAGAATCCAAATCCTCCTCAAAACAACTTTCAGGACAACTCCGCATTGCTTTCGGGTAAGGTACAGTCATTCGCTTGGCATCCCAGGCTCTCCATGATGGTAATTCCAAGCCAAATTCTGGTTTTTATGAATCCATTCTAGGCAGAATTCCAGTTTATTCATCTCTATAGTCCATAGGGCCTAGCCCAGGGCCCGGCACACAGCGTGTGCTCAGTAAAGCACACAGAATTAAATTGTAATGACATTTTGCACGGGCTCAATAGGGCACCCTTCCTCAGCACCCTTTCAATCCCTATCCCCCACTTCACCAGCTCCCAGAACTCGGGTGCCGAGAGCCCACACCTTCTCCACTGCCCCCTGGGCTTTAGGGTCAGACAAACCCAACTTATAATTGAGTTCTGCTACTGGCTCTGTGTGTGACCTTC